ATAGGTCTTTGAGCATTTATGTAGATACCAAGTTTAAAAAGATATACTCAAAAATTTTTAATTCAAGTATTAAATGTAATTTATACTTATCCTATACCCAAAATGTTCACCCCTAGTATTACATACAGTACACCAACATGCAACCGTAAATGCTCACTCCTTGAGATGGAACTTTGAAAAGAAAACCCCAAGCAATCGATCGACTTCGCTGCTTAAAGGACTTAAACACTTCAGTTGGATGATCAACCATTTCATAGTTGAAATGACAATTTTTTCCAAGAAGGTTGTTCTTCTTTATTCTAGAAGAAAAAACGTTTGTTGTATTTGCAAAATTTAATCAAATCTTTAATGAAACTTGAATTGACATAGAACTTGGTTTACAAGATTCGGGAAGTTGAGAAAAAAAATACAGTAAAGAATGAAATTATTGATTCCAAAAGCAGTTTCATTTGTAGTATATGACGGGCATATTTGAACTCCGATCCCATACACCTCCCTCCTTTACATACTCTAAATACCTTGCAAATTCAGGTTTAGCCGTTGTTTTCTTTCTATGCCGGCGGCCGTCAAAGAGGCTGAAAAGCGGATGACTCTTGCTCTTTTTGGTAGACTTAGCCTGGGAATTGGATGGCATGGCTAACGCCGGTGTTAATTTTCTTGACAAAAATTGAGCTGGAACACTTGTGGTCCTCGGCAACTTGCCTCCCAAAAGGCTAACCTCAGGGTCATCAATTGGCTGTTCTAACCGTTCATACCTCCGGTGGTTTCTCACGCTCAAAGCTCTAAGCATGGCCATGGTTTGATAAGAAAAGGTACTCTGCAGATGTTAGAATGTGAATTTTGCACACAGCAGAAATATATATAACAACAGGGTAGGTAATGGTTGCTGAAAATAAGAATAAAATACTATACATGGAGAAAGTCATGCATGTCTAGTTTAAATGGTTGGTCAACAATGGTTTGCTGGGTCAATAATTTTGTGCAATTTGCAAAGCTTATCACGGCTCTTGCCTTGAACTTGTAGTCCCACTCTTACCAAACATAAAGAAATCAACTTCAGATTGGCGGCCCATGAAAAAAGTAAGCCTTTCTAATTGTCCTTTCTTGTGCCCATGTTGACTCAGCTCCTGTGTGTAAATAAATAAAATAACAAAGGCAGCTAATTCAACAACCACGTTTTATTTCTCATAATGAAATATTAATTTGTGGGTCAGGGAATTAGGTCACTGATTTAGACTTTTTCCTCACGTGATACTAAAATTTTGGCTTGTAGAAATAATTGGACATTCAAAGCAACAAAACTAAATTTCATGCATATTAATCTTAGAGAACAATTCAAAGCGTAATTACTAAATTACCTGAATGGAAATGGTCGTTCTCCTATTTCAATTTTAAAATACTGCCACCAGTTCAACTTTCTCTGAAGAGGTCACCGGGGCTTTGATCTGTTCGCTGCTCCTGCTATGTGGCAGCTATACAAATGTAATATTGCTTCCATGGTCAACTATTTGGCAGCAGCTTCCTGGCAGCCTGCAAGGGAGACATGGCTACTTCCTGCTTCTTTCACCAGCCCCCTCTTCTTCATTGTATCTCTCAACTTGTCAACAGAGTCCCAGTTACCCACAGCAGCATTGAAATTTGAAAGCAGCACATAATTCCCAGGATTATCAGGTTCTAATTCCAATAGATGCTTTGCTGCAAACTCTCCCCTTGCGACATCTTGATTCAGACTGCATGCATTCAGCAACGTTATCCATACTGCGGCTGTAGGCCTGGTACCATTCTTAACCATATTATCTAACAGACACCATGCCTCATCCATCTTACCAGCCCGGCCTAAGGCATCAATGAAGCATGCATAATGCTCTTGACCTGGATCAAAACCATACTTTTCCCTCATTAAATTGAAACACTCTCGGCCTTCATCAACCAGGCCTGAATGGCCACAAGCAGATAGAACAGCAAGAAATGTCACAGAATTTGGCAAGACCCTGCTTCCTTCCTCTCCCATCTTCTTGAACAGCTCAAGAGCTTCCAGCCCATAACCATGATTTCCGTATGCCTGTATCATAGTTGTCCAGGAAACCACATCTTTATGCAGAATCCAATCAAACAATGACTGCACATTCCTAAGCTTCCCACACTTTGCATACATGTCTAGCAGAACATTACACAACTGGGTGTCTATAAACCCAAAACGTAATGCCACACAGTGGATTTGTTTTCCAATCCACAAATTTGAATTCTCAGAGCAAGCTGAAAGAGCACCAGTAAGTGCAACTACATTGGGTCTCATTCTGCTCATGATTGAAAATGCCTCTTCATACTTCTGATTTTTAATACACCCAACCAACAAAGAATTACACATTACACTATCTATTCCACCCTTCAAGCTAGAAAACACTTTCATGGCTTCACTAATATGCCCCACATCTGCATAAAAGTCAATAAGGGCCGTGCTCAAGATCACCAAATCACGGCCTAAAACAACTACCAATCCATGAACTTGCCTCCCCTGTCGAAAAGCCTTCATAGAGGCACAAGCTTTTA